AAAATAAGATTTTATCATCCAGTTTACATTTTAAAAATCAAATAAAAAGTGTTAATATATAGAAAAAAATATTTATATAGGAATAGTTCTAAAATTTTAATTTTGCATGCGAGGTTTTTTTAAGGTTTTTTTTTTAAATAAATTAATAATATTTTTTTTTTAATCTCATACTTTTGTAGATTGTATAATAAAGAATGGTCAATATTTCTTTTTTATTTAAATGTGGAATTGCTTAGTATATTATAGCAGGATACAATATATAGTAACGGTAAGTTGTGTAATTTAGTTTGTCACAAATGGGTATAATTATACTAATGTATAAATTCATTTTATCCTTTATAAGATATAGCATTCAAATTTTTAGAATGAAGATTAAATTTTTAAAAAGAATTGTTAATTAATAATTAAAAATTTTTTATTTATTGTATTGATTTCAAAAACAGATATATTCGCGAAAAATTGGAGATTGTATTTATAAGGAGGATCAATGAACAAGATCAAATTAGATAGGGAATAATATAAACACTAGCGGCCTGTACAAAACTTTTATGACTCAGCAAACATAATGGAAAAGGCACAATACAACATTTTCGTGAGAGAGAGAGAGAGAAAGAGAGATTTAAATGAAGAGATATGAAGCACATATGCACGGGATGCTAGTATTGAAACTATTGTTGTAAAGTTTATTATCAATTGTAATTTTTCGTTAACCCTCAAAAATTTAGCTTTTTTGTATAAACGGGTTCTTTATTTTTATAGGACTAGAGATATTGTTGGAAATACTAGAAATGGCACATTGTTGGTGACATAGAAGTAGCTAAAGTTGAATGCTGGTAAAGTAGTAAAATGTTTTATCAAAGCATTTTGATTCTCTTATAATATAATAATAATAATAATGTGCAAATCAAATTTTCACTAATAATTATATTATTGTCTCGTCTTACTCATAAATAGATTTTGTATTTTTTACATTAAAAGAAGGTTATTAAAATTGAATAATTTTATGAACCAATTTATAATAATTATTATTTTATAAATTTCTTATAGAAGTAATTAATATTTTAGTTGAAGCCCAATTCATAGAAAATTTTTTTTAAAAAAAATAATTTTACTGCCAGAACAATATTAACTTTTAATACTAGATGTGTAAATTCTTTCAGAAAATATATGTAAAAGCAATAATAAAAAAAATTGACAATTTTCTACATATAAATTTAAATTTGACATTGATCTAAAAAAAAATGAAATTGAGCAGAACCTGCTTCAAATTTATGATTTTCTTTATCTTTACCACCTGTTACTTTCCACTTAACGGTCATTTCTCCATTGACTAATATTTTTTTGTTTATAACTATTATTTTCAAACTCTTCAGATACATATAAATGGCAAAACTCAGTTGGCCTTTTATATAATTATGTTCCCCCCAGTTTTTATCATTTAGTAACCTCCCTATTTTATCAAATGCTCCTTCTCCTTTAAAACTACAAAAATAAGATGATCTACAAGGAGAATAATGCGTAATATATTTTTTAAAAAGACCAACAAATGCATCTTCACTGCAATGTATTGAGAATGTTTGCTCTCCTACTGCAGTATGATGGTTATTGAGCCGTTTCTGCAATTCTTTAACTATAATCCTTTTGAGATGTAAAAGTTCTGATTTTGAAACTGAACAAATATGCTGTGGAGGCATGTTATATGCTATGTGTTTTAATGTCTCATGTCTTTGCAGTTCTACTTGACTTTTGAAACCTTTAGTACACCTTTTGCAAATAGAGCAGTAGAACCTGGCTGGATTTTGAACGAGTGTCTAAATAAAGAAATTATTAGAAAAAAATAACAAAAAACAAAAAAAAAAATAACTAAAGAATAAAAAAAAGTCAAATATATTATCAATAAAAGCTATTTGTATAATACATACATTCATACCTTTAGTTAGATGGATTGGTAATTATGATAGATAGGTTGGCCGCTACCCTTAAATGAACTTATTTTTATTTTGACGTGAAAATTGATTAAAAATATATATATATTTTTTTTGATCTACATATCACCTAGTACAAGATCTTTGCGTAGCTTGTCAATCTTATATTACACAAAATAACAATAAAGCATTTATGTTATAAAATTGTAATGAACCAAATCCGCCCATATGATAAGTTTTGTCAGGGTTTGCTTTTTTCAAAGTTTCACCAACTTTTTAACAAGACTTTCATATAGTTTTGGCAAAGTTTTGCTATTTCAGCATTTCACCAACTTGCCAAAACCCCTAGTTTCTTTAGCAACCTTACATATGACTAGTACAGATAACTCTTCTTATAACGAATTTTAATATAACGAATTTTACAATATAACAGATCTTCAGTGTGGTACAGATTTTAAAATATGAAAAAAATCTCATTATATCAAATTTTACTAATTAAATGCCATATACTATTTAATAAAGTAAAATTTATAAATCATATATAAAAAATACCTCTTTTAATAACAAATTTTCTTTTATAACAAATTTTTTTTCAATATAATGAAATATTTTGTGTAATTTGCAGTTTTGCATTACAAAATACAATTATCATACAACAATATATTTTAATATACCAAAATTTTTCATTATATTAACAAATATTTCTATAATAAAAGTCTGATCAATCTGAACTAGTGTTTCGCAAATGATTTGGTCAAATCGAATCAATTCAGATTTGATTCGTAATTTGATTCAATTCGATTCAAAAATTTTGATTTGCAAATCGAATTCGAATTTCAAATCCAGATTTGAGCTTCAAATCCAAATTAAAAATATAAGATTTGATTTGATTTCAAATCAAATTTAAATCAGCCTAAACTAATTTGATCAAATCCAATCCAAATCAAATCCAAATCAAATCCAAATTAAATCCAAATCAAATCCAAATCAAATCCAAATCAAATCCAAATCGATTTGATTTGACTGAATCAAATAAATTTGACTTCAAATGATCAGATTTGGTCAGATGACTCAGATCAAATCACAATAAAATTAGATCATCTAGTGATCTACATCACTATTCACTACATATGATAAATTGATAATCTCTTTTTTTTCGCTTTCATTTTACCATTTTGCCACTTTGAATTTTTCCAAAATTAGACTTAAAATTAAAATTAATTAATTTACCAAAATTTTACTAATTAAATGATATTTTTAAAGATATGGATTTAGAGGATATGAATATTGATGAAGACATTGAAGTTGATAATGATGCGTCTAATAAATCAATAATTTCGGAAGAAAGAGAAGGTGTTAGTAAAGCAAGTGACGTATGGAAGTATTTTACGAAGGATGTAAGCTATAAACAAAATAAAAAGGCGAAGTGTAATTTATGTGGAGTTACTTATATATGTACTGGAGGCAGTACATCGAATTTGAATAAACATATAAAAAACAAACATTCTGGCTCTGAAAAATTACAAGAAATGTCTATTAAAGATATTCTTAAGGCTGTGCCAAAGGTAAATATATAGAATTATAATTTATTTAAGTAATTGTTATTAAGTATTAACAAATCTATATTATTTATTAGTGGAGATACAATAATAATGAAATGTTAAAGTGTCTTATTAAGTGGATCATTATTAATCAGCACTCATTTACAGTAGTTAAAGAATCAGCTTTTGCAAATCTTATATATACACTCCAACCCGATGCTAGACTAATCTCAGCTGATACTGTCAAAAAAAGAATTATGGATTTATATGAAAATAATGTAAACAAAGTTAAAGAATCTTTTAAGAATATTAGAGAAAAGATCTCTTTTACCATTGATATTTGGACGTCTCCCTCTTCAAAATTATTTTTATCATTAACTGCTCATTATATTGATAATGATTAGAAATTGAGAAATGTACTGGTTGATTTTATATAAATCTTTGTTAATTTTTTTTTTTTATTAATTTTTTTGCTTTAACCTTCAATTTAAATATTTAATTCATTTAATTTTGATTAATTTAAGGTAAACATACGGGAGAGAATATTAAAAATACATTTATGACTGGAATAAGTAAACTATCATTACAAAATAAGGTAAATTTCGGTTTGTTTTATTAAAATTATATTGTTGTAATTTATTAATTTAATAATATTATTTACAGATAATGGGAATTACGACTGACAATGCAGCCAATAATCTAACATTTATTGATGCATTAGCAAAAAATAATAGTTTTTTTCAAAAGGAAAACCATTTTAGGTGTTTTGCTCACGTCATTAATTTATGTGTTCAAGATATTTTAAAAGAATTAGATGATAGATTTTTAAGTCAGGTAAGATAATTGTATTTATTTATCAATAAAATTGTATGATTTTATTAAACAAATATTTTATTTCATAATATATAGCTTCGAACACTTTTAGGTAAAATCCACTATTCTCCACAACGTCAAGAAAAATTGAGTTCCAACTGTAAACTACATGAAATCATTAATTTAAAAGTTGTTTTAAACGTGTCAACTCGTTGGAATTCTACATTTGATATCACTAAGGTTGCTTGTCTAAACCTCTTCAAAATCTTACGATTAGTTTCGTCAAAATTTTACTATAGATTTATTATAGTTTCAGCAGAGTTTCAGCAGTTTCGGCATTTATAATAAGTTTCGGCAGTTTCGCCTTTCTCCAAAGTTTCACCAGTTTTTTAATATAACTTTAATATAGTTTCAGCAGAATTTCGCTTTTTGGCGAAACGCCATCTTGCCTAAACCCCTAGGTTTCGGCAAGCAACCTTAGATATCACTGGTCAAAATAGTCCATTTCGTCCAAATTTCAAATTGACGAATATTGGACGAAAGTTGGTCTAATTTTGGCTGATCATTACCAAAAAAATCGTCAAAATTAAAATGCACGATTTGCACAGTTCGCCTGCCACTTGGCAATTACAATTCGGCAAAAATTCATTAAAAAATCGGAAATAACTATTCGTCAACTTTTACTAGACATTCGTCCAAATTTCAAATTGCCGAATGTTGGACAAAATTGAGTCTAATTTTGTCTAATTATTAACGATTTTTATGTATTTAGCTTATTTTTAATTTTGTAATAGCAATCAATTAATTATATTTTACTATTTCGCTTTATTAAAAATTACATATTAAAAAGTATTATATTAAATTTCTAATATCTACAGTATCTGTCTATTTACACCTACCATCTACCATCCACCATTTACCATTTACTATCGTCAACCATTGTCAACCATTATTAACTATCGTCCACATCCATTGTCCACTACCCATCATTCACCATCCATCGTTCACCATCATCCACCATCATCCACCATTATCTACTCATCCAAAATTATCTACAACTCACTCAGCTATCTGACAAAAGTCCGAAAGAGAAACCTAATAAAAAAAATAAAGAAATGGTTAGTAAACCGATTCTTTAATAAAAAAAAATTTAAGTTTCAAAATATTTTGCAACTTACCCAACCAAAAATCTGAAGTGGAAACTTACCCATATATCCAAAGCCCAACCAAAAGTCAAAACCTACAAAATAGAAAAAAAATTAAAATAAAATTTAAAAAAAATCCTTTTTAAAATAAGTTTTGAAGTTTCACTTCAAAACTTACCCATATATCCAAAGCCCAAGAACTGAAAGTTGAAACCTACAAAATAGAAAAATAATCAAAAATAAAATTAAAAAATATTTTTTTTTAAATTAAGTTTCAAAGTTTCTTCGAAACATACCCACATATCCAAAGCCCAAGAACCGAAAGTCGAAACCTACAAAAAAGAAAAAAGAAACAATTAAAAAATATTTTTTTTTAAAAGTTTCGATTCTTTCATTCCGATCAAAATTTACATATAATATATTCAACGTCCAATAACCAAAATCCTAAACCTACAAAATAAAAGAAAAAAAAATTAAAAAAATAATTTTATTTAAAAAAAGTTTTGAAGTTTTTACTCCGAAACTCACCCGTATATTCAACACCCAAGAACCGAAGGCTAAACCTACAAAATAGAAGAAAAAAAAATTTTAAAAAATATTTTTTAAAAAAAAGTTTTGAAGTTTTACTTCAAAACCTACCTATATATCCAACGTCTAAGAACTGAAAGAAACCTACAAAATAGAAAAAAGATACAATTAAAAAAAAATTTTGTTTAAAAAGTATAAAGATTCGTACTTACAAATCTTGGGTATTCTGTTCTTTGGAATCCCACCCGAGACACCTGAGACCTAAAAAAAAAATAGAAAAAGAACGGTTAGAAACTGTTCATAATATTAAAAATAAAAAATAAAAAATTAAGATTTATAGTTACTTACGAATCTTGATTTTTCATTGTTCTTCGGAACTCGAAAGCCTACCAAACCTAAAAAAAATAAAGAAAAGAACAGTTATTAGTAACCGTTCATTAATAAAATTAAAAAAAATAAACAAAAAAATAAACCAAGATTCGTATATACTTACGAATCTTGGTTCTTTTCTGATCTTTGGAATTTGGAAGTCCACTGAATCTAAAAAAAAGAACGAACGGTTATTAGTAACCATTCGTTAATAAAATTAAAAAAAAAATAAAATAAAAACCAAGATTCATATATATACTTACGAATCTTAGTTTTTTTCATTCTTCAGAATTTGGAAGCCTCTCCCGACACTGAACCTATAAAAAATAAAAGAAAAAAAACGGTTAATAACCATTCATAATATTAAAAATTAAACAAATAAAAAAATAACCAAGTTTCGAACTTACGAAATTTGGTTTTTTCCATTCTTCGGAAGTTACCCCAGTACTGAACCTAAAAAAAAAGTAAAAAAGAACGGTTA